GAATACACAATTAGATTTGTGATACCTGCAGTTGGGATTTTTTTGTTCAAAGTTCAGATTTGTCTTTTTTACTCTGATCTCTCATTGCAGAATTTTTATTTCACACTTTTTCCCTTATTGATTGCAAAGGAAAATGGTGGAAAAGGATTTTTCCAAGGAGAAAGTATTCCATGAAAAATAAATGCAATCTTGAAATGGATATATGAGTTTCCTAGGAAATAAGATTAAAGAATCTTGTAATTTATGAATAAATAAGGGCAGTTTTTATCAAGGATACAATGAAGTATGACTTCTCAATTGGTTTGGACATGTTTTAAGAAGACCTATATATGTATAGGAAAGCATGTCAATTAGGATTAAGATTAGAGGTAGAACCAGGGTAGAGGTATTCTATTACCTTTATCAGAAATAATAACAAATTTGTTGCCTCGTGGTTTGACCTGTGATATTGCATTATAGCTCAAGTCGAAGCTCAATGAGGGGAAGGATCGATATAGCCAACAACTATAGATGGCTGGGTCCTTGTGGCTCCTTGTTATATCTGTCTCACCATTTCAGTTAAAAAATATTAGGAATTGATCCTTAAGGGCATGCATTGTCTACTTCATTCTATAAGTTGTTACTATAATAGTAATTACTAATTACATTTTAGTAAGTTTTATTGTTAAACATGCCAGAAAACTTGCTTTACTCAAAACTGCCCTTTATCTCATCATGGATTTATATAGGCCGGATAAACTTAATGCTTCAACTTCATTCTGCAACTGTTATGCTGTTTTTCGTTTTGTCTTTCTTACAGAGTCTCTAGATGTCTTATGTATCAAAGTGATTATACTACAGGCAGCAGAAGAAACAGGTCGGAAACTAAAAGTTTATGCTGTAGAGAAAAATCCCAATGCCGTCATTACACTTCATGTGAGTTGGTTTTTAATCTTGGACGGTTATCATGTTTTATTGTCTCTTGATGCTAGTTATTATTGGATTGTCATAGTAATAAAAGGGAACTGAATGGAGGCTGGATGGCATGGCTCATTTTTTCTCCGGACAGTTGTTGGGATAAGCACTATGTTTGGTAATTACTAAAAGAAAGTGCAAGAGAAGAATATGAGCGAAGAGAAAATGACTGATTTTAAAATTTTCTCCTATGACTATTATTTTATTACCTCATGAGAAAATTTGTTTCTACCGTTCTTCTCGCCAATTTGCTCAATCTAAATAGGCTGTAAAGATTCATTCATATTCTCTTGCATCATGAAATAATTTACCCAATGGTTGTAGTTTCTGGTCTCTTATTCCCTAAAAGTTCACCAGAATGTGGATACTATTTAGTGAATATAATTGTATCTCAGTGGAATTTATTAAACTGCTAGAAGTACTACAATATTTGGCTTTCGGTCTAAAGTGGGTTTCATTTTAAGACACTGCTGACAATGTTTACATTGGTACACAATGTACTAGTCAGCAACTCACGATTGACTCTCTTGTTCTGTGACAGAGTTTGGTTAAATTGGAAGGATGGGAAGACATAGTTACTATAATTTCAAGTGATATGCGTTGCTGGAATGCCCCAGAAAAAGCTGATATCTTGGTTAGGAACTACCACTTTTTGGTGCCATGTTTTGAAATACTTGTTGTAGAAGTGTTACAATCATCTTGTGCTAGGTGAGTGAGCTGCTGGGATCATTTGGTGATAATGAACTCTCACCTGAATGTCTTGATGGAGCACAGACGTTTTTAAAGGCAGATGGGATTTCTATTCCGTCATCGTGAGTTCTTTCTTATTGAACCCAGTGGTTCTTGGTTTTAATTATGTTGGTATTGCATTTATCATAGAAGAAATTATTAGATTGTTGGTGACGTCTCCAGATATACAAGCTTTATTCAACCTGTGACAGCAACAAAGTTATATAATGATGTATGTCATTAGAAAACTCAAACCATCCTCCTTTTAATGTCGTTTAATGCTGACACAGATTTATTTGTGCAGGTGAAGTCACATAAGGATCTTGCACATTTCGAAACTGCATACGTTGTAAAACTGCACCGTGTAGCAAGGCTTGCTCCATCTCAGCCTGTGAGAATCTGCCTCATTTTTGTGTTTCTTTTTTTTTATTTTGGATTAGCAGATGCATTATTCCATAAATCAACTAGCTAATCTTTTTATTGCCTGTCTTTTGGTAGCTGTGGCTCTTAAATTGTGGTGCTTAGCTTGGTCTTCGGGGTTATGTTCATTCCTCTTGGTCCTTTTTAACCTTATTTGTTACTTCTTCTTGATCAGGTGTTCACATTTACACATCCAGAATACTCTAAGAAAAGCAATGAAAGATATAAAAAGTTATGTTTTGAGATACCTTCGGACAGCGGATCAGCTGTGGTGCATGGTATGCTGTTGACTGGTTTATGACATCTTTACTCATGAAGTTTTGACATTTAGAGGGATCATATCCAAGTCTGCTTTCATTTCTGTCATGGTTGGTTTTGGATAGGTTTTGCTGGTTATTTTGATGCAACACTTTATAAAGATGTACATCTTGGCATTGAACCATCCACTGCAACACCAAACATGTTTAGCTGGTACTACCTCATTGTGATCTCATCAACCCCTTGTGCTTTATAGAACTGCTAATAGTACCCTCCCACCACGTGTATCAATCAGGTTCCCAATCTTCTTTCCTCTGCGGACACCTCTCTTTGTACCTACAGGATCTCCTTTAGAAGTCCACTTCTGGCGATGCTCAAGTGCTTCAAAGGTTCCCATGCTTCAGTTGTTTAGTTTGGTCATCGCTGAATATTCTTTTCTTTTTTTGATATTACCGCCTCATTTTCATCACCTCCATGATGCAGGTCTGGTACGAGTGGTGTGTTACTTCTCCCACTACTTCACCAGTTCATAACAGCAATGGCCGCTCATATTGGGTTGGGCTATGAATCCTTGCCATGCACCACCTCGATGTCTGCATGCGATGAAGGAGCTTCTTGGTGAAGCAATTAAAAATCATATTAGCAAGTGCCATGAGTTGGACAGTGATGAGTAGGATGAATATGTTATATGAAACAAGTTTATTTGTCTTGTCATTTTCCATCTCTTCCTTGCCTTCCTCAAAAATGATCTTTTTTGTAGGTCTTATTAGTTTTCAAAGTCGAGGTTTTTGCTTCCTAGTTGGATTCCTTAAATGGTGGCCTGTGCATTTCCATTCATATGTTTTAGTACAACCAAGGATGGAGATAATACATCTACAGTTGATTTACTGCTTTAAGAGTAAATATAGGCACAGATTGATACAACTGTTCTAGTGGTAATGTTTTTAAACCTGTTTTGTGCGGTGTTAGCAGCCTTCTTTATTATTTATACATGGTTGATGCTGATTGTATAAGACATTTTTGACTGCTATGTGATTGTTATTTATTTATAAACGTTCACAACAATCGACTTCACAGTTCAATCAGAGTCGTCTTGCAAAAACCTGCTACCAGACTAATTAAAGCCTACCCTTGTGTTATCCTTGATGAGACCGAGTGTCATCAGTATTCATTTTGTAATTTTTCAGTATTTATTATTGAGTACAAATCATCAAACGAGGGTTCCATTTTTTTCATATACTTGTTGCTCATAACAATTGTCTCCAAAGATGGAATGGTAGTACTAATCTTGTGTATAATTGATGATATTTTCTGGTCTGACAAATGAATGATATTGGATCATGTGATCGATCATATGGATCAGGAATTTGTTTCTTTTTTTCCTTTTTTGTTTCGTTTTGGATGATATCGGATGGTATGGATTGGTACAAGTATTGGATGATTCCTTGTTTGGCTTGTGCAACGCAGCAAGTTTTATTAGTGTGCTCTTCGGTCTCTTTTCTCTCTGCAGGTTTCTTGTTAATGCCATAAACCACACGGTTTGAGTTCAGCTTGATAGTTGAAACGAAGAACGTGCCTGCTGCATTTGAGACGATTTACATTGGCTTTGCACTACCATGGTTGAAGTTGAGGATCCTCGAGATTTGTCAATGGCCTCACCTCAGTGGCAAAGGTAGACAGCACAAGAATCAAATTGACTTGCCATCATGGAACAATTGAGCAACAAAGTAAGCGCTATGTGTAGATTAAAATGGGCCTCGTATCAAGCTCAACAGATGTGGAGGCCCAGCTAGATTGTTACGACTCAATGGGTCTCGATTAGTTTTTTACGTTAAGATGGGCACCACGTCAAGCAACTTTTTCTTTTTTCTAAATTATAATTTTTTTGGTTTGGGCAAATGTAAGCTATAAAGATGGAATATTTGATCTTGGAACTTGGTGGCTAGCTTTGAATATTGATTGAAAGCATTCAATCGTGACATCCATTATTTCATAATTCTTATAATTTATATTGATTTTTAAATTTAATTGAACTAGGATATTTTATCCTCACTATTGGTTTGATGCTCTCTCCATATTCGCTTTTACCTAAGGGTGTCTTTTTTATTTACTTGGAAGAAAATGTTCGCATACTTTTACATTCAAAATTAAATTATTTTTTTTTAAAATTTTGATAATTAATCAACATAAAATTTATAAAAAAATAAAAAAACATATTATACTAATCATCTTAAAATCATGTCTTAGTGATTCTCTAAAAAGTTGGGTTGGTTTACACTCACTCACAAAACCTATTCAAAAAATCTTCAATTTTGATAATTAATTATCATAAAATTTTATAAAAATAAAGAGTATTACTGATCATCTTAGAATCATGACTAGGTAGATTGGTAAAAGTTTTAGTTGGTCCGATGGAAGCCGATCAAGTTACACTCCAAAATGAACTAAATTATACTCGATCACAGTACATATTTAGTTTTTTTTAGTTTTGATAATTAATCAACATAAAATTAAAAAAATAAAAAAAAACAGTACTAATCATCTTAGAACCATGTCATAATAGTTCCATGAAAATTTAGATAGGTATAATAGAAGCCGCTAAAGTTACACTTGATCATAGTATCACAAAAAAAAATCTTAAATTTTGATAAATAATTATCATAAATTATTAAAAAATAGTTTTAATCATCTAACAATTATATTCAAGTTATTTTTATAAAAGTTTGGATTAATTCAATGAAAGTTAATCTAGTTACATTTGAGTTACACTTTGAATCTTGGATTTTGATGATTAAGTCAATTGTCATTTGTTTATCTAATCTATATGTTGAGAAAAGTGTGTAGGATTAACTACGATGGCAGTAAGACATGCAGAAAGTGTTATGCTGGAGTCAAGATCAAGATCACGTTGGGAGTTCGAGAGTTCGTCGGAAGTTCTGTGGGAACCAGTCGAGAAGTCCAAGAGCTTGCTATAGAAGCTCATCGTAACTCGCCAAGAAGATCGTCGTAAAGTTCAGGAGCTTGTCGGGAGTCCGCTGGAGCATCGTCGAGAGTTCATCGGATGTTCGCCGGAAGTACGTCGGAAGCTCGCCGGAAGAAGCGATTGACGCACCGGAACACGAATTGTAGTAATGATGTCTTAATTTCCGTAGTTAGAGTATAGATTAAGTTACGATTAGGAGGCAATCCCACTAACTTAATTAGGGGCCAATTGGACCTTTAACAGACCCAAATTGTGCTGAATGGAATAACCCATTCGGCCCCTGAATTCCTGGCTAGCGGTGGCACCGCTTGGGAGACTCGGTCTCCTAGGAATTATGGGCGGTGGTACCACCTCTGTCAAGCAATGGTACCGCTTGAGCTCGGTCTTTGAGAACTGTTAGGTGGTAGTACCGCCCAGACTGAGCGGTAGTACCGCCCAGTGCCCGATGACAGGCGGTAGTACCACCCAGTAATGGCGGTGGTACCGCCAGGACCCCGGAAATATGAAAATGGATACATTTAGGCTCCATTTTTAAACTCATTGGGGCCTATAAAAATTCCACCCTTTCCTGCATGAAAGAGTATCGAAATCTTGATATATTCTTGAGTCTTTGAAGTGTTAAAGAGTTGTAAAAGTGCTAGAGTTCTCCTCCTTTCTAAGTGTTGAGATCATTCAAGAGAGGAGTGAAACTTGTAAGGGTTGTCTCCTAAGCCCGGAAAAAGGAGAAAAGCTGTAAAAGGGTAGTTGGCCTTCGCCTATTGAAGGAAGGCTTCTAGTGGACGCCGGTGACCTCGTCGGAGGAGGAAGCCGATAGTGGATGTAGGTCATGTTGACCGAACCACTCTAAAATCTTGGTTTGCATTTACTTTGAGCAACTTTCCTTTATAGCAAACTGCCTCTCCTCCTTACTGTGCCTTAACTACGTCTACATACGCTTTGATAGTAACATTTTCCGAGATCGACTTTAATCGTACGAAGACCTTACAAAACTGACGCTTTTCATTTGTGCACTTTACTTTGCTACAATTCACCTTAGTCTTTTCTTGCTCTTTCACGAAAGGTTTCAAGTTTAAAGTTCTTCAAAAAAGGATCGAGTTGAAACTATTCTTGTTGAATCGACTTTAATCGAAATAAGTTTATTGAAATCGTAAAAGTTTTCCATTGCACTAATTCACCCCCCCCCCCCTTTTAGTGCGCTCTTGATCCTAACAATTGGTATCAGAGCCCGGTTCACTCTTAGTTGGATTAAAACCCAAGAGAGATGACATTTGCCGGAAACCAAGAGGGTCACTCAATTACACGTCTGCCCAAGTTCAATGGGATGGATTACACCTATTGAAAATCTAGAATGAGAATCTTCCTAATTTCTATGGATTTTGAGCTTTTGAATATTATAGAAAATAAATTTCAAAAGTCTTCTATTCCAATGATAGATTGGAATGAATTGGAGAAGAAGACTTTCGCTTTAAATGCAAAGGCTATGAATGCCTTGTTTTGTGCTCTAGATAAAAATGAGTTCAATCGAGTTTTGATATATGAAACGACTTTTGATATTTGGCACACACTTGAAGTGACTCACGAAGGCACTAGTAGTGTGAAAGAGTCAAAAATCAACCTTTTAGTAAATTCTTATGAATTATTTCGAATGAAACCGAGTGAGAGCATTGGAGACATGTATACCTGTTTTATGGATGTCGTCAATGGTCTAAAAGGACTTGGTAAAAGTTTTTCAGATTTTGAGCTCGTTAATAAAGTTTTAAGATCCCTTCCAAAGAGTTGGGACCCTAAAGTCAGGCCATTCAAGAGGCCAAAGATTTAAATAACTTTCCTCTTGAAGAATTAATTGGGTCACTAATGACCTATGAAATGATATGCAAAGCTCATGAAGAGCTTGAGGACACCCTTCCAAAGAATAGGAAGGATATGACACTAAGAACACAAGAAGACCACTTGAGAGAAAACTCAAGTGATGAGGACTTTGATGATGACTTGGCACTTTTAACAAGAAAATTTAAAAAATTCATTAAAAGAAATAAATTTAAAAATGATGCTAAAAATAAATTTGAACCCAAGAAAGATTAAGTAATTTACTACGACTGCAAGAAACCGGGACACTACAAGAGTGAATGTCCTCAAGCCAAGAAGAGGATACCAAAGAAGAAGGCGCTCAAAGCAACATGGGACGACTCAAGCACATTCGAAGAAGAGAAGCCCAACACCAAGCAAGTTGCTCACTATGCACTAATAGCCATTAGAGAGGAGGTATCAAGTTCAATTGATGCAAATTTATCATTTGATGAATTATTAAATGCTTTTTATGATTTATTTGATGAATACAAAATAATTAGTAAAAAATATAAATTGTTAAAAAAAGAGCATGATTCTTTTGCTAGTAATTTTGATAAATTAAAAATTAAGCATAATGATAGTTTAGCTCCATGTACGAAATGCCATGATTTAGAAATACTTCAAAAAGAAAACTTGCTACTCAAGGATACCTCGAAGAAATTTGAGGTAGGTAGTAAGTCCTTGAACATGATCCTTGCCAACAAGGGTCATGTTCATAGGAAAGGCGGAATAGGATTTGTGAGTATCTCTCACTATAATCCAACCACCTTCGTTAAAGGCCCTAGCTTACATATTTCGCCCCAAAACAAATGTAACTTTTGTTGCAAACATGGACATAAAGCTTATCATTGTCTATTTAAAAAGGTTAGTCCACATAAATTGATATGGGTTCCTAAAGGAACCGTAAAAAATTTCATGCAACATGATAAGCAATTTAGATCGATTTTTGAGGCACCCAAGGTCAAATGGGTACCTAAAATTATCCTCTTTTGTAGAAATGTAAACCATCACAAGTTAGGAGCAAGAGATGGTACCTTGATTGTGGATGCTCAAGGCATATGACCAGAGATCTATTTCAATTTTCTAAGCTTACTAGTATAGATGAAGGATATGTCACATTCAGAGACAACAACAAGGGTAAAATCATTGATTGGTAAAGGAACCATAGGTAACAAATCCAACTTCTTTATTGAAGATGTTTTGTTAGTTGATGGTTTAAAACATAACCTCTTGAGCATTAGTC